TTTGTTAGATCATTCTTCAGATCACGGGACTGAATGTCATAGCATAGAAACCTTCAGAGACAACACTGCACAAATCCTTACTACTAATTGTATTCCGTGCACAAATTAGAATGAATATTATTAGTATGTAAACAACTAAACCAGAAAATGTACGATCCAGTCAACTTTAGGTATAATTTTAAGTTTGTCAATGATCTTTACTGGACTTATGAACTGCAAAGCTAACATGCAGGCATGGAAACCACAATGTTCTAACCACAGGAATGTGCCTAGGAGTTTCATAAAGTATCATGATGTTAGCACTATTATAATGTCATGTGAGTATCATGAACCCACCATGTCATCTTTTACAATGCTGGCAAACGATTGGTTTATCCTAAAAGACAGCATTCTGATCAAATTCCCACTTTGAAAATTTGGGATGCTTAGACTTCTCTACTGTTCCAATTTTAATCACAAACAGATCATCAGTAATTTAATAATTATGAATTGCAGAACAAACTAACATCATCCAGAGGAATGATTTTGAGAAGATATTATTATGCCAAAGAGCAGACCTGGAACATCATAGGAGAAGTAAACATTAGCACCAGGAGCAAAACCAGCTGAGTAAAAATCCTTTGATAAATCTGCAATTCGTTGCTTTGGTGGAGTGGTAACTGGTGAAAAACAACATCGAGATGATACCAAGAAATACTAACATAACAATAGCAAATTAATTTATAGACAAAACATTTCACAAGAACCCATTCAAGAAGGATGAATCAATACTTACATAAATAGAATGGCAAGTTGGGTTGAGCAACAACTTTCATAAGAAGATTCACTAAAGTTTGAATGGTCTCAGATGGCTGAAACTTTGCCTCCAGAATATAGTCATCAGGGAAGCGGACCCTAATCACTGCCTGCAAAATGACTGGTAATATAACCAAGCAATAGAAAACAGATTGATGCTTATGTTTATCCCAAAAATAAGATAATGGATAACAAAACAAAGAAGATAAATTAAGTAGAATCTGAGGAAAAGTAACCCTTGCATTATACAACTCCCTCACCAATATAAGCTGCAGACAGGATACTGCCATTATCATTAGAATCAACACAGCTTAAAAAAGACAAAAAATATCAGATATAAAAAAAAAATTCAGCCACTAAACTTTAGTATCAACATCAAAGGTTGACATTTGAAAAAATACAAGAAAAAACTTCAGAAGCTCCTAAGAATACAGTTGAACTTAACTCTTCTATCAAATGAGTTAGATTCCAAAGGCTAGAATTTAAAGTGGAAAATCCTGTTTAGTTTTCTGCCATTTTTTGAAAACCACAAAACTAGGTACTTATTCCAAAGAAAGATTGAAATGAGAAAGGGAAAAAAAGCAAAGGTTAAAGCCACAGACAACAACCAATAAAAGTATATAATCTAGTGCAGGAGAGGACATCAAAATGTTCAATAGAGAATGCATGTACTCAGAGAAAATAGCCCAAGAGCAGTAGTGAAAAGTCTGAAAAAAATTATGTTAAAATGAAGCCCGACCCAAACAATCTCCCATCAGTTCTAAGCACAACCAAGGCATAAGCAACTCGGCACAGCAAACTGAAGCATGTTTAATCCCGAGCATACATTGGTTCAATAAATTCCAGCCTAAACCAACCCTTTTCGGCACATATCTGCAAAATTCTCTAGCTCACATGAGCGTCGGTCTAGCATAGGAAAACAAGGAGAGATCTTTCCCTGTGGGAAACGTACCTACCACTTGGAGAAACCCTTCTTAATGTAGGACATGGTGGGCTTGAGGCATGAAATTAATTTAAAACTTCTATATAATTTGTTGATTCTTCCTGGTCACTAGTGCATGATATTTGAAAACAAACAATCAAAATGATTTTGAGATTGCACCAACATAACATTGCTTTACCATTTTAAAACACCAAGATACAAGCATGGTGTGGACAATGTAACTATGAAGAAGGACAAGTATTCTCAATATCCATTGGGTCCTTTGAAAGAATAGCAACAGAGAGATGGAGAACTAGGCATTATGGGTCCTAAAATCATAAATTGTAGAGAACCCAAACAAATATAAAGTTCTTTCACACCTTAGTTAATCTTTCTCTACTAGCAACTGCTTCTGCTTCTCGCATCTTCTGGGTCTTCATAATCTGAGACTCAGCTGTACATAGTAAAGTCAATGAGCAAGCATTAGATTGCATCAAATACAGTGATGAGTGTTCATCACTGAAGTTTATTCCTACTCCAAAGGACAAGATATATGCCCACTAAATCTAACTCTATAAATAAGGTACAAATAAATCTTATCCTCGATATTACCTCTACTTGACATGAGGTTATAATAATCCTCGGCAGTTAAATCGTAGAAGTCATCTGCATCATCTTCTGCATACCGTATAGTGGAAATAATGAGAAAATTGACTTGCAGCGGTCATAAGCAGTAGCAACGAATTCATTGGAAATTAGGTCAGACTACAAAGACACACATAGAGCTTCAGCGAGCAAAATGAACAAAGACGACGAATCTGGAGTTTAACCTCGAAACTAAAATTAAAAAAGAGGCAGAATTATATGAATGGCATTTTCGAAGAAGGTTAATACCATTAGACGTAGTCAATGTAGCATGTTTCGTCTGAGATGCTGCCAAGAACACACGGATTTCATGCCCCAGCTCCGCAGCCACCACTTCAAGCTTTGCCTGAATCACTCAAACGGGGATGTCAGAATGACTTTCTTAGTTAAATAGAACAGAGCCAGAAGCACAAAACCCATTATTCTAAAACAAGAGCGCCGAGGTCAGAAACCAAAATCATCATCACCCAACGGAAACACAAAGTATTTCTTCCATGAAAGAAAAATAAACCTTTTGGCTGCAAACCAAAAATCCAACATTACACCCAAGACCCATCCAAAAAGCATTGTCGAATTCATCATAGACAAGAAAGCATCCTAACACTTCCTGCTTTAATAAAAAGAGTACTTTCAACACGAACCACCGTTCTTGGATACAAGAACGCCAAGGCAAGAAATCAGAATCATCATCGCACACCAGAAAAAGTAGGAACTTTAATCGCAATAAAATTACATCTCCCGGCTTGCAAACCAAGGCCATCATTACAACCCACGAGTGAACCAAAAACCATTCTTCCCACGAGAAACACATCCAAGATTCCGAAATTTTCATCATCAATGAAGGAAAGCAGCCTAGAAAATCCCGTATCGCGATCAAGACTTTCTCCAAGACTCAAATAAAAAAATCAAAGAACTAAACCACCAAGAGACAGAAGGGCGCGGATCGATCAAACAGAAGGCAGAAGGAACACAATTTCAAGAATCCATTTGCCAGGGGGAAGGGGAGAAGCTTGCGGACCCGAGCACTCTCGGCTTCCACGGATGTGGAGAGCCTCGCACGCTTGGAGGCCATGAGGAGAAAGGTAGCCGAGCGTTGGCTTCCGAAACCGTACTCTCTGCGACTCCCAGAGCGCTTTGGGGCGGAAAAGGAGTCACTTTTGAGTCCGTCCCGTATTTATAACCTAATCGAACCCTTAGGTTTCGCTTAAGCATATTATAGTCCTTTTTTTACTATTATATAACTCTATTTTTAAATATATTTAATATTTCTAAATTATTTATTTATAAATAAATGGAAATAATAATGACATGAGGGAGACATAAGTAAAATTGGATAATATTGAACGACAATAACAAGCTACATCGACACTAAATAATAATGACAACAAAGAACGATATTGACGAAGAGGATGAAATAAAAGGGTGCGATAAGATTAAGAGAATAGGAGTTACTAAGTGTTCTTGATAACTTGAACTATATTAACGAAGAGGATGAAATAAAAGAGTGCTATAAGAATAAGAGAATAGGAGTTACTAAATGTTCTTGATGACTTGAACTATATTGACGAAGAGGATGAAATAAAAGGGTACGATAAGAATAAGAGAATAGGAGTTACTAAGTGTTCTTGATGACTTGAACGAGGAAATATTTTTTTTTAAATATAAAAATATATATATATCGTATTTCTTATCTTACTTAAATTGGACAATGGAGGATCATAATATCTTTTAGTTCAATTTTTGTAAAAGTTCATGTTAGGGTTTATGGAAAAAAAATCTTTTATGGTTAAGTTAAGTATGTATTAATGATTTTAAAGTCCTTAAGTGTTTGTTCGATAATATATCCGATAATATTATTTTATATAGCATCTTGGCTTGAGGGAATAGTGTACTTATGGATTCTTTATCGTTGTGATGGATGATGATATCCAATAAATATTAATTGGGTAATCGTACGATATATATATATATATATATATATATATATATATATATATATATATATATATATATATATATATATATATATATATATATATATATGTTATTCCAAAACTTTGTGAGGATATAAATATAAATTTCAGTTTATTATCTATAAATATATTAGACTATTATTATTATTATTATTAGGATTTTTGAAAAAAAATATTTTTTAGTTTTTTTAGCTAGTGTTTTAAAATTTCTTTAATATCTTAAATGTCTTTTATCATCGTCTATCGTTTCTCTCCCGCTATGATCGTCTCTCCCCTTTCGTTTACATATGATCAAATATGAAGAGAAAAGAGGAGAAAAAAAATTGAAGTAGACAAAGAAAAAAAGAATAGGATTTATCTTTATTACGAGGACCCATCGCTTCCATGAGATAGGAGTGACAAGGCCTCACGATGGGATCTTACGATAAGATAAAGATGATTAAAACGAAACAAAACGATAGACCTCGCAAAAGGAAAGGGAAATAAAAGTGAGATGATCAAAGTAGTGAAATGGCAAGCAACAATGAGGTGTATTCATGGAAAGGCATAATTTTTTTAAATAATAATAATAAGTATACTAATAATATTATTAATAAATAATTAATATTTATTATAATCATTATTATGTTCGAGATGTATTAGGAAGGTTATTTTAATTGCTGAAGCCAAAGACATCGACCTCATCGCTCTGCGCCTTCTCTTTGTCTTCTCTCCTTCCGATCACCGAAAGGAAAAGGACGGCAGCGAGGGATCCGTCGGGGAATATACACAGGGAGAGTGCAGCGCTTCTTTGGTCTCGAAAAAGGTAGGTTTTTTCTTCTTTTCCGTGTGGGTTTTGAAGCGAATAAAGAAAAATCTCCTTTTGTTGGCAATTCTTTCACCTTTGTACTTCGACTTCGAGATTTCGAGCGCCAAATGCTGTCTCGCTCGCTCTCGGCCGTTTCCTGATCGTTTTAGTCCTTCGAACCCGTCGATTTTAGGGGCGGAAGAGGAATTTGGCCCTCGAGATCCATCCCGCTTTTGGGTGCCCCTCTTTAGTTGCGGGTAGAAGGGTATGGAAGAGGGGATCTTTCCGCCGATCGCATCTGTCATTGGTCCGGGCCTCCTTAAAATGGTAGAATCTTGAGTTCTTTCTTGATCTGCTATTGTTATCGGGTCTTTGCAACGGAGAAAGGGCTGACTTCATGTGGGAGAAGATATATCTTTGTTCTCGATCTGGAACATCTTCAGGTGACAGTAAAAAAAGTGCTTTAACAAAGGAAGGATTTTGGAGTGAGGAACAGCAGGTGGCGGCAATGAGATCCCTTTTTTGCTGAAGTTTTACCTTGGACGGTACATAGCTAGGGCCTTCAATTTGTGTTTTTCTCCTGTTTTTCCTTTTGCATGCATGCATGCCTCGAAGCATGATTAAGCAGTTTTTGAGTCGGCTTCCCCGCAAGCAGTCAAAGTCAGGCGATAAACGGGATTCACTTGCTGGAGTGAGTCCGCCATCATCGACTTCTTCAACCAGTTCAAGAGATGGGGACTTGCCAAGCAGCAGAGTCACAATTCTCCCTCCTGGTTTGGATCCTGGGTTAGACCACCCAGCCAATCAAATCCCTGCTGTTATGTCAGAGCCAAATGGCGGTTCAGTCGTTCTGGCCTATGAAGCATTGCCGAGCTTCAAAGATGTCCCAAGCTCCGAGAGGCAGAGCTTATTCATAAAAAAATTGAACTTGTGTTGTGCTGTGTTTGACTTCACGGATGCAACAAAGAACTTGAAAGAGAAGGACATCAAACGGCAGACTCTGCAAGATCTTGTTGACTATGTGGCCTCATCCAATGCAAAGTTTTCGGAGAGTGTTATGCAAGAAATCATAAAGATGATATCCATAAACTTGTTTAGGACTTTCACTTCCCCGCCTCGTGAGTACAAAGTTTTGCAATCCCTTGATTTGGAGGAAGACGAACCTGTAATGGACCCTGCATGGCCACACTTGCATCTTGTTTATGACTTGTTTTTAAGATTCCTTCAATCTCCTGAGACGGATGCTAAGCTGGCAAAAAGATATATTGATCATTCCTTTGTTCTTAAGCTGCTCGATCTCTTTGACTCAGAAGATGTTAGAGAGAGGGAATACTTAAAGACAATTCTTCACCGTATCTATGGAAAATTTATGGTTCACCGGCCATTCATAAGGAAATCTATTAATAACATTTTTTACCAGTTTATCTTTGAAACTGAGAAACACAATGGCATTGCAGAGCTGCTGGAGGTGCTTGGAAGTATCATTAATGGTTTTGCATTACCTTTAAAAGAAGAGCATAAATTATTTCTTGTCCGAGCGTTAATCCCACTTCATAAACCAAAATGCATGGGCATGTACCATCAGCAGTTATCATACTGCATCACTCAATTTATTGAAAAAGATTGCAAGCTTGCAGATACCGTCATACGGGGCTTGCTGAAATTTTGGCCAATTACAAATAGTTCAAAGGAAGTTATGTTTTTGGGAGAATTAGAAGAGATATTGGATGCAACTCAGCCTGCAGAGTTCCAGCGATGTATGATACCACTATTCCATCAGATAGCCCGCTGCTTGAATAGTTCTCATTTTCAGGTATTTTCAGTTATAACTTTAGAATATTAGGTCAGCTGGTTTACTTTCAACCTTCACTTTGAGGACATTTTACCTTTTTCATATCTTTTGTTTTAACTTATAGATGCATGTTTTGTCATAAGCACTGTCCACCCTGCACTATGGTATCCTTCTCTGGTTCATCGACAGATAAACAATTTACCAGATAACACCAACACTCTCCAAATCATGCTTGACTCATGGCGTTGATGCATACTCAAGTGAAGGAGTATTTCCATTACTTCATTAGGATAAAGCCTTTTGAGCACATTTTCTTGCATCAGTGCTCATAGTGGTTTTGCATATGCATAAGCAAACCATGGTGTTCCATATCTAGGTAGTAGGTGCAATTTTCAGTCCTCTCTTTGAACATTGGACTATTTTAAATTAAAGTTTGACAAGTATTCTTTAGAGCACTGTTCAAATTCAAGTGTTCCTCTCATTCTTTTGTGACTGCTTTCTTCAGGAAGACTATTTGAACAATTTTTTTACCACTGTTTTTTAGGATCTCTTCTCAAATTATATCTTGCAAGTTGTTGAGAAGATGCTTGGTGGCAGTTAGTTTAATTGATCTTATATTTTATTTATTCTGTCAAATTTAACCTTGAAGTTTCAGATATGGCATTTTTGTCTCTCGGTCTAGGTTCTATTTGTGTATAGGGGAAAATCAAGATTTTGCTTTTTGGTAAGATGTACTAAGATTGCACAAATGAGGTTTTAGCTTTATTGAGCACTAACATCTATTTCAAGGAGGACACTTGCCCTAAGATAAAATTTAACTTTAACTTATGGTTTAGATTAGGTTGCATCCATGCATAAGTTTGCACACAAATTAACTATTGTAAAATAAACCTGATGCAGGTATGTCTCTGCTACGATGTTATATATGTATATGTCTTTACATATCTGCTCATGAATTGATCCATCCTGGTTATGCAATCATCTATATGTGTAATTCATATGTAAAAACATACAAATAGCACATACATAGCAGTTGAGTCGATCTCAGAGGAAGTATCCTGAAGGTCGTTTTTGCACAAGTTGAATAACACCAATTTGTATTCAATTTTAATCCACCAAGGAGGCAAATCCTTTTCTAGTTTGTTTGGGTTTGATTTTTGTCATTTGAACCTGACCTGACTAATCCAATGCCATCTTATTTCGATTGGTTTGGACTAAGGATGACATTTCTACAAGATTGGTCGGAATCAAGGTCTTGTTTTTTGGTCAAAGTGGGAGGCAACTACGGCACCACAGTAATTGATTGGTCATTCTCACATTTCATAGGTAAATGATGTTATTGATTCTTCATAGTCTACTGGTAAATCGAATTAGAATCCTGATCGAACCATTAAAACCCAAAATTTTCTATGTTAGGTTGATCAGGGTTTCTAATGGTAAAAGAAACCATTAATTATTTAGACATAGTTCTTCTAGGAAAGAAATTGATGACTTTTACCTTTTGATAAGTTCCAAATCTGTTTCTAAGGTTGCTCCCTTGCGACGTAGATGATCAAGGTTTGTAACATGGAAAAAATCTCTTTATTTGTAGGGTTTAAGACCGAGTATATTGATCTTCTTCAGACCCGATACTGGATGATGATAAGCATTGTGATCACTGATTAGGATCAAACTGAATTTGGTTGGGTTCTTGAAGGACCCAAGGGACTTGACCTCTTAATTGAATTGGTCTTAGGGGAGGAGACGTCAGGGGATGTTGGTGATGTTAGTGTTGTCCTAGGAGAAGAGAATCCATAAGACTGTCCCTATATTATTTGTTTTGGCAGCATACATTGTCTTGTCGAGTGTTGGCACAATATAGCATGACATGTTCACAAACTATTTGGATGGCCAGTTGGCACTCTCTTATGCTATTGCAACTTGTAGCCATAAATTTTCAATCAATCAAAAATCGTGATGGTTCTATTTCAAATATTGTCCTCATGTGTATACATCGTTTAAATTGCCATGTAGAAACTTTTTAATCTTCCTTGCTTTGTGTCATTAGAAAGGTGTCATTTAGCATTTGCCTCCTTTTTGTTTTATTTAGCGTGGCTAGCATTTTACTTTTAAGTTATTCCTGCATTTCATTTATTACCCTTCTAAGCTGCTGTAGTTGATTAGCTGGTGCAGTTAAATTTTTTTCTTACTTTCCTAGCATTCGTTGTCATCTTTCGCACATGTCAAAATGGTTCAAAATTTATCACCTTTCTAAGCTGCTGCAGTTGATTATCTGGTGCAGTTAAATTTTTTTTCTTACTTTCCTAACATTCATTGTCATCTTTCGCATGTGTCAAAATGGTTCAAAATTCAAACTGTTATAAGACAAAAAAAAGCCTTAGTAAGTACATTATACTGAAAGTGTTGCAACATACAAATTTTAGGTTTTGCTAATTTGTAAAGAAAAAAGGATGCTATAAAAGATCAGTATGACAAAGTAGTCACTGGTTTTAGAATTATAGAGAATGTGCCTAACGAGCTTTTTGTAACTAGAGGATTACATTAAGATCAATCTTGAGTTCTTATCTTCACATTGATTATTGGTGATCTTTTTTTCTTTTTCTTGATGATTGGTGATCTTACTATCTTATGCAGGATAGAACACCATGATATATGTTATTTACCTATTTGCTTTTTTTAAATGGATCTAATACCTCATAGCGGTACCCTGAGATGCTTCTTGGGCAGTTAGGTGTCTTTTACCATGTATTGGTTGCTTGGCCACCTTAGACGTCATTGAATTGAAGAATTCTGTAGTTTGCACCATAATAAAATAAATTGTTCTGGAACTATCTGAACCTAAAATGAAGACTTGAATTATGTACAAATACCTATTACTTTGTTGTTCTGTAATTAGATTATCCTTGAATCAATCTCTCTATGCAGGTGGCTGAGAGGGCATTGTTCCTATGGAATAATGATCATATCGAAAACTTGATCAAACAAAATGTCAAGGTCCTATTACCCATAATCTTTCCTGCTCTCGAAAGAAATGCAAAAAGCCACTGGAATCAAGCTGTCCAGAGCTTGACGTTAAATGTGAGCAAGTTTTTCTCTGATAATGATCCTGAGCTTTTTGCCAAGTGCTTGAAGAAGTATGAGGAAGATGAAGTTAAAGGCAAAGAGATCCAATCAAAACGAGAAGTGACATGGAAACGCCTTGAAGAAATCGCCGCTACAAAAGCTGCGAGCAATGAACCTGTGCTTATTCCACACATCATACGCAGTCCAGTTTAAAGCTACATGTGTGGTAGCTCAACCTTTTTGTTATATTATGAGGTTATTGACGTTGATATGGGTAACATGAATGCATATAGATTACACCCAATGTAATGCATCTGGATTGTCTGCATGTCAGGTTCTTTTGAGTATTTAGGAAAATTGTACAGGTTTAAGAGGTTTTCTAAGAATCTTAAAGAACTACTATATCCATGTGTAAAATATGATAATATGGGAGTTCATAGGTTAGTGTTCTACAAACACAGTGCAAAGTAGGAGCAAATGTTTCATTAAGTTGATGCTTGACATGATAAAGGATGATGCATTTGAAATTTCAGGTGATTTGCTTTGTCCATTCATGTTTTCCATGGTTAAATTTTGAAACACTCAATTCTTTATGTTCCATCTTTTTCTCCAAGCCCTAATTTGTATGATTTTAAGGTTTATCAGGTCACTAAAATGTGCAATTGCTAATGTGGGTCTGATTTCAAAGTGGTTGGCAAAGTCTGTCTTCTACTACTGACTTATTGGACCATATCTCAGGTAACTTGCATCAGTCTTGAAGATGGTCTTGCCTTATGTTCATCTTAGTATGCTGTTAATTTCTCTTTCCTGTCCAATATCAACATTCTTCCTACAAAATGCCAGTCAATCATCTCCTATTACAAATGAACAAGCCTATGCTTCTTGTTGAATGTTGTAGCCAGTGAGCTTGTTTATGAAGATAAAAGAGGCAAAATAGGTGCACTAAGTAAGGTTTGCAACTTCATATACCAATAGTGTTTCAGATAAGTACTCGTGTGTCGTCATACCGATATGTGCCGATATCACTGTGCCGAGTATCGATATATGCTGAATTAGAAAAATCTTTGAAATAAATAAATAAAAAATAAAACCAAACAGATAAATATCACAAACCTGGGTACTCAGTGTGCAAGACAATGACTTACCATTAAAACTTGTGCTGGCAATGATGACTGAGTGCTGGTTGAAAACTCTGCTCTGAGTTGGCTGAGTGCAAGATGAGCAAAGAGGTCAAGCTGGCCACATTGGCCTCTTTCTGTGTAGAAGACCTGAAAGTTTTCAACCTCCTCTTCATTCAGACTGGTTGAATGATTCTGGATCTATAATGTCAAATTGATTCATCTTTTTATGCTGTCCCAAAACTAACACAAAATCCCATGAACACAACATCTGATGTAGAAAAGAAAGAAAAAGAATTCAATTAGTATTTGCCTGCATGTAGAGTTGCAGTAATGCAATTGAAGTAGGCTTATGGAATGTTTTCATCAAAGATCTGATGTGAGATGTCTTAATACATATTGGTGAATTAAAAAAGGAAAAATTTCTGTATTATTATTATTATTATTATTATTATTATTATTATTATTATTATTATTACCCATGTCAGAGGAAATGAGATAGCTATACTATGCATTAGTGTATAATAATAAAATCCTAAATGTGTCAAAATTTAATATTCGATATTTTACTTCAAAATATAAGCTGAGCCAAAGATCACAAAAAAAATCATCAAAGGAAAAAAAAAATAATGATACATGATAAAATTGAAATAGATATATTCTTTTTGCCAGCAGTGATATTTTCTCTAATAATTCCAATTTCTAAATTTATATCCAAATATCTTTTCCTATTTTAATTTAAAACCAAAATTTTATAATAATCAAACAAATAATAAAAAAGAAAACAAAATAAACAATGCACAGGAGATAAATCCAAAGTTTTTAATGGTGTATTTTACAGATATTTCTGCATAACACATTAACAAAATCATAATTTCAAATCTTTTCTCAATGGGATCCTTAATAAAATTAAGATTTTTATGGATATTTTTATTTGTAACCATTTTCTATTTACAATGATATTTTAAGAATTTTTAATATTTCTAAAATATCCCTAAATGTCATTAACTTATCACTTAATTTTTACCCTCTTCCAACTCTTTCTATACAATCTTTGTTCCCTTTTTACTATTGTATATATTTTTTCTACTTCCCTTTTTATCGTGTTCTATATATATATATATATATATCATTACGATATCAATCATATACATATAACATCGATGTTTGTGGGATGATTGATCGACCGATGAAATGAGTTGTATAAAATAATGATAATTAAAAAACATAAAAAATAAGGGATTATATTTAGTAAAATTATATTTAATTGTTTTAAAAATAATTATATAAAATAAGGGGTTATCAATCAATAACAATATTTATTTATTTATTTTCTAAAGAGTTCTTTTCTTCTCTCCACTATATCTTGAGATTTTTGTTTTTTTAATCAAACTATATAATATTTAAAACTCCCTCCCATTGACATCCATTTCCGATTACCAGCCCCAATTCCTCCGCAATCTCTCTTCCCCCTTTCCTCTCTCTCTCTCTCTCTCTCTCTCAAAATTCGCGCAGCCATCGGCAGCCTCAAAACCCACCCACAACGAACAACAAGCGATCGAAGCAAACCTGATCCAAATCCACCACCTCCTCTCTCTCTCTCTCTCTATCTCAGATCTATCCGACGCGCTACCTAATCATTGGTATCCCTAATTCCTTGTCCAACAACCAAATAATACATGCTCTGTAGAGAGCGGATTCCAGCGTCGGAGATCGGTGGGTAGCGATGCCGAGCGTGTCGGTGAAGGTCTACAGCGTCTTCTTCAAGCTACTTCTCAAGCACAAGCTCCAAACCCTCCTGCAGCAGTCGGCGGCGGGTGGCACGGAGGCCTCCTTCGGCGTCGCTTCCCGCCCGGACGAGTCTGCCGCCCCCTCTAACCCTTCCTTCGGCCCCGACGGGGTTGCCACCAAGGACATCCACGTCGACCCCCTCAGCTCCCTCTCCCTCCGCCTCTTCCTCCCCGACTCCTCCCTCGCCCCCTGCAATGGCCACGTCGAAAACGGCGGGGCCTACGGGGGCTATCTGCCGCCCGTGTCGCCGCCGGACGCCTGCCGCGGGTCCCACGCCGGGTCTCCTCGGAAGTTGCCTGTGATCCTGCAGTTCCACGGGGGCGCGTTCGTCGGCGGGAGCAATACGTCCACGGCCAACGATTTCTTCTGCAGGAGGATCGCCAAGCTGTTGGATGCGATCGTGATCGCTGTGGGGTATCGGTTGGCGCCGGAGAGCCGGTACCCTGCCGCTTTTGAGGATGGATTCAAGGTGCTGAATTGGTTGGGGAAGCAGGCGAATCTGGCGGAGTGCAGCAAGTCGATGGAGAGCACGAAGGCTGGTGGCCTTGGGGATGCGAGCAGGTCACAGATTGTCGATTCTTTTGGTGCATCTTCCGTCGAGCCTTGGTTAGCAGCTCATGGTGATCCTTCCAGGTGATTGTTTTCTTTTGGTGAATATAAATTTTGGAATTTTTTGCTTGGTTAATTTGTTTGGGATTAAAGTTTTGCAGATCTATTAGAGTCTATGTAGAATAAGTTCGTAACCATTCTGTTAAATGCCAAATTGTAGTCACCTTGAATTATTGGTGTTTTGGGATGTTAGTATGCTTTTTCTTGGTTGGAAATATACCACATGGATATATATTCACGACTACTGCATATTTGGTTAGAATTGAATGCAACATATGACAGTCTGTTCACTGAACTCTAGAAGCTTTTAGTTTCTCAAGTATTTTATCACCCTCTTCAAAGTTACACCTTGACGGTCTCTTCGGTAGGTTTCTGTGGTAAAATTGCTTTAGCAAGTGTTTTTTGTTATTTGTGTTAAGATGCATTTACAGGTGACACATTATATTGACCATAAAAAAACTTCTAGACTATATATTTGTCAATTGAACATCATTTTGTTGTTAGGTAATTGCACATAATATCATATCTTGTGGGTTAGAATAAGTAGATTGTGTACAAGCTGTTTGTTAATGATGGTATGACGATCAGTAGGTCTAAACCATAATTATGAGAACCAGACTATATACTGACCTGGTCAAGTCTCAAGTTATTGGGCTATTGGTTGAACCATGGGTCAACTGGTCTGGCTACAGGTTTAATATTTTTTTGAAAATAAAACATAATTATATATTATATTAAAAATATAAAAAAATATGAATACTATTATATGAAATATTTTTATAATATTGTGAAGAAGGATAATTAGACATGACATAGACACGTTGATTTAGCCTAAGGACATGACATGAAACTTTGGGATTAGTGAAGGATCAAAGGAAATTTTCTTGAGACAGTGTGGAGATAGTCCAGAGATGGCTACTGAAAGGACAAAGGTGCATATCTTAATTTCAAGTGAAGTAGTTAGACAGGACTTAGTTAAAGTGGTGGAAAGCTTTTCAAGTTGGCTGCTATCTTATGAGAATTGGCTAAGGATCTAATTAGCACACATACGTTCCTAGGTGTCCTACAGATGGTGGTAGATAAGGATTTATCTTTATATTCGCCGGATCTTTTTATTATGTACCTCTATCTATACTGATCTGTGTCTTTCTTTTCCTATTTGTCTCCTTTTTGGCTTTTATCTCACACAAACCACCTGCAGAGATACCCTGAATCTTTCCATGCAGCACAAGAAGTCAGCACCAAGAGTTTCTTTTTATCCCCTTCCACATCTGTTTCTTGCCCAATCATGAGCATTTCAGACCTAGAGTCAATCCACAACCAAGCAATGCTGTTATTATTACTAATCATATAAAATGTCCTCCTGTAGACCTGAACTATTCATCAGCACTTCTCAATAATATCCTGCTATATTCCAGGTTTATGCCACCATAAATGATAGCCTATATTGACAATGAATAACCTCTACATAATCACCAATAGCATCCCTGAAACTTGTGAAATTTGCTTCAGTTACAATGCCCACACTGAATCATACCCCTTGACCACATTTTTAGCCAAACATAATGAAATCATGCCACAAATTCTTTTTTTTTTTTATAAAACAAAGGATTCAGAGTTTGGAAACAAAATTCTTTAGACCAGATCTTATAAGTGCTTTAGTTTGGGGAAAAAAAAATTTATCATCTTTTTTTAAAAACTTGGTATTCTATGATGAAATTGGTTCCTCTTGTTATATCATCATACAGCTAGGAGTATTATCTAGGGTCTAAGTAGGTATGGATTAGGTTTTTCCTTATTTTTTGTAACTTTTATAGGGATTTTTAGGCTATAAGTAAAGTAATTTATCATTCAATGATTTTTTTTTTATTTGTGACATGCACTTTGAAGAATAAGTACAAAATTGACATGAACATCTCTTATACCTATACTTTGTCAGTGGTGATGATTCTCCAACAGTCGGTCTGCAACTCTGTTCATGAAAGCGATTAA